TCTACCTTTTGGGAGTTTTATCTCTTGATCGGTGGTCTCTAACGTCTTGTCTTCTAGGATGGCAAACACATCAAATAGTTTGATACTGAAGAAAACTAAACATCAAATCATCACACCAGGCAAAGCACACTGCTACCACAACACACTCGACAACATACTCATCCAACAATCCCAATTAGTAGTTGGAGAACTTTCCAGTTGACTTGTTGCTAAAAGTAGAACTAACATTAGCTGACTTCACCCCGGGGTGCCGGTAGCCAAACCTCGGTACTTTATTCCCTGCTGTACTCTATTGGCATCAGATGCTGCATTCAGTCCCGGTCCGTCAGAGTCAGATAATGGGTCCGTTATAGCTGGATGTAACACTCGTTCAGCACTATTGGCTACTGCGACCCCCCAACTGCCTGTTTTTTATCAGGAAATACACCAAATATGTAGAAGCAAATAGCTCTCTGATTTCTGATTTCACTGATGTTCTCTCATTGCATCCCCGCAGTGTCACACATGCTTTCAGATTCAGTATGAGTGGGAACTGGAGGTTAATGCCTCACTCCACAATTCAGGATCAAACACAGCTGTGCAGTAACAGAGGAAACTACCATTTACCTTTCTTCTTCGCCTCTTTCTTGTCCTCTACAAGGTTTGGAAACAGACAGATCTGTCAGGAGAGCTCTTAGAGTCCACACAGAGGACAGCACACAAACACACACGTTGTGTATACAGTACCTTTTCTCAGCCTGTCTCTTCTGAGAGCAGGACCTTTTAACTTCTTTTCATCTGAACAGACAGACAGCAGAGCAAGTTAGCACATGTCGGCTGCCATTTAAATATGTCAAAATGTGTATAAATGAACAGCTTATTGTCTCTCCGCAGACATTTTGACTTGTTCTAGCAAGAGATCATTAATAATGGCTGCGGTGTATTGAGGTGTCGTGTCTAAATGCCTATTTAGTGATATTTGGCCACAAAGAAGCCAGATTCAGACTGCTGTAGGACTCTGATACCAAACAGGAAACACCTTGAGTGGCAGTTAACTCTTGAGTCTGACAGACCACGAGTCTTTTTAACTGTCTGTAGTTCCTTTTATATCAGCACAACCAACTGTTGACCTTTAAGTTACATGGAAACTGCGCTGATTGGTCAGCACATTACTGTATGTGTACTGTGTAGGGGGACGACCTTGATTTTCCATTCAAAATTAAAATGAACCAATTCTTTAAAAGTGACATTGCTTATCTTCAAGCAACATGTATTTTATAAAATATGGGGAATCCCAAGAATTTGTATCTTTACGAGGAAAAAATTGAAGCAAATGTCTCAGAATTACAAGTCATTGTGTTTATTGCTTTTCCAACAGACACAGACAATAAAGACTTGATGCCGCGATTACCTTCGACCTCGCCCAGTTGGAGCTCAGTTGTGGCTGTAAAGTGTTAATATCTTGTGTGTTCTTGCTTGTGCTAGCTGTGTTAGCATCCACAGACTCCTTGCCACCTGTATAGGTGTTTGTTTGTTTATGTACCAACCTTGCGAGCTTCGCTGTGTTACTGCTAACAAACCATTGACCGTTTCATAGATCGATCTGCGTAGGTGTCTATTACATTAAAACCAATTTTCAACTCATATCACTATATCTTTACACCCCTACTACTTCAGGTTTCATTGATTGACTGCAGCCTCAAACACATAAATAAGAATAAAACATCAGAATGATTAAACAGCGTAAAAGATCCGATCAGCTCGTCGACTGTCACATTTCAGAAAGCAAACAGAAAGCAGAATATCATCTATAAAAGTGTTATATTAGTGATTTACAGGCAGAAAAGTAAAAGCACTGTTAATATAAAGTGAGTCTTATTAATATTACAGAATATAACGAGCAGTACAGTCACAGTCGAGCACATTTATTATCATCACCTTCAACTCACGAGCATGTTAATGTCATCAAATAAAACTGTCTTTCTTTTAGCCAACAGCAATTCATTAACTGAGGTTAGCAGCAACTGGCTGATTTAAATCAGTCATAACAGACAACAGGACTGTGAGGCTATGTGGAGCCTGAGAGGCAGGGATGGGTGTCGAGAACCGGTACAGGATACTGACTGGTCGGTGAAACATCGAAAAGCTCCTGGACAAACGATCCTGCTAAAAACTGCAGGCTGACTTTACTAAATGTAATGAGAATGCAGCTAAATGCAGTAACTCAATAGCAACTGTACTTATTTCTGTAATAATAAATAATAGAATAACTGCTGAATCTGTCTTTATTTTCTGCACCAAATTATGGCGAGTAGTATCAATTAGAGTATCGATAAGTAAATATTGAGTGTTTGGTTTGTCCGTTCTGGGCTACTGTAGAAACGTGGCGGTTCAACAAGGTGGACTGTATGGAAGGCGAAGATAAGAACAGCTCAGTCTAAGTCAACAAAAACACAATGTTTTCAACATTCGGGGGATTAAACACTACTGAAAACATACCTATGAATATTATATTCCATTTCTGACAATAGAGCCTACTTAATGTGACACTGGACCTTTAAAACAATCGTATATTTCCTCTAAAACAAACTGCACAAACAGACGTGTTCGTTTGCGTTTGATTCCGACAGGAGTAGGTTTAATTTACCGACCACGCTACGTGGTTGCAGGTCCATCCGATTGTGTTTTTTTATATATTCAAATAATAATAAATTGTTTATTTTATTAATTTCGGGCAACATTTGCACAGATACCATTATATTCCAGTACAGGCCGACACTATAATTGTTTGAAACTGAAGTGTTTTGATCGTTTTAAACAGTTAATTTAAAATTGGACTCCTTTATCTCCCCAGTTTGGCCCTGCAGAGGAAACCAGACTGTCCTCCATCAGGTCCTCTGCACCTCCACATACACACACACACACACTCCCATCCTCCTCCAGCTGGACTGGGTTACATCCCAGTCTGATCCTCATTGGTCGGTAGTGGGACCAGGGAGCCTTGCTACTGGCTGTGGCTCTGCTTCCTGTCCTCCTATTGGTTCTGGAGGTCCAGTATGACCCCTTTGACCTCCCCGTCATCAGAGGAGGTCGTGCCACCCTCGTCCTGCATCTCAGCTGCCGCCTTCTTCCCTTCCTCCTCTTCCTCGCCCCGCTCTACGGGCGAGGACACTACGTCATAAAGGAAGGTGAAGAAGCCATAGATCCAATCAGAGCCCTCCTCAGCTAAAATATTAAGAACCTCCTCAAGCGACTCGACGTTCGCACTACCGCCTCCATCTTTGGACAAGCCTGACGAGAAGAGAGAGGGAGAGAGAAAAGGAAGGGAGGGAAGAAGAAGAAAAAACAGACAGGATGGGAGCAGAGGTGGAGATGAAGGGGAAGGGTGAAGCACAAAGGGAGGCAGGATATTGAATGAGGAGGAGGAGGAGTAAAAGGAGGGGAAGGGAAAGAAGGAAGGATGTAAGGAAGGAAGGAGAGGAGATGGTACAAAGGAATGGAGAGCAACCGTAACAAAAACAGGGCCAAAAGTAAAGGATGATGATGTGGGAAAGAGAAAGATAGTGAGTTAAAGAAGTTTCATACGATCCATAGATAACAAATAATCCTTCACTTCCTGTCTCGTCAGGCAGTCTCTGACTTCCTGTCTGCTTTACAACGAGGAACAGAGTCGTCCATCTTTACTCTAAATGTCCGTAACATGATGAAACACATCAATGCTGCTGTTAATGTTAAGATTCTTCACATTTCATGGGTTGGGACATTTCTATAAAAACAGAGTTTTAATAATCTAATCAGAGGAGGCCGGCCCACCTCCCCTAACCTCCCCTAACCTCCCCCAGTCTCCCTCATCCTCTGCTCTGAGTGGGAGTCTCATTTTTAAATGTATCCTGATGGAGACGCATCATTCAAAGGAGGTTATGTTAGCTGTTGCTAACCGTCTACTCAGTATCTTTATATCGTGGCGCAGTGGTTTGGACTTTAGACGCTGTAGAAGCACCGGACTGCGATCTTTACCTTGATCCCACACTGACACACACACATACAGGAGCCTCTCTGAGCCGCTAGCTCAGCTACAACACAGCCGCCGCCGCCGCCGCCGCTGTGTTTCTAGTGACTGTAAGAGCCGCAGCAGACTCTGTGTTTCAGAGAATCTGACAGCAGCGGCTCTGTTAGCTCTGTTAGCTCGGACTACCAGCTCACTGTTCCTGCTACACTGCTGTGGTCAGTCTGTCAGTTTCTCTGCCATAACATTACTGTCAGGTCGTGTTAGTATATGTAGACGTCAGATACATTTAGAATAATGAACAGAGAGAAAACAAAACAAAAAGCAGACTTGAACATGAAAGCTCGTGGTGCTTTCAAGAACTCAAGAAAAGTATTTGCTGGCAGCATTTGTGATTATTGTTGTTGTCTTTTATGTTTCTTGAACAGATTTACATCTTGAAGTTCAATATTTCATTGATTCATCTGCATTTTAATGGTTGAAACTTGAGCAAGTGTTATCACATGACGGAAAACCAGGAGTATTAAACACAGTCGAGGAAATTTATTTTATTTATTAAACTGTATTGAATTCTTCTCATTTATTATTACATCATTTCTCACTGAAGGTACAGCGTAAATATAAATACTAGCTAGCTAATTTCTTGAATAGTTTTGTTAACTGTCCTGACTCTGGGACGGTATTTCTCCTTATAATGCAAACATTTAGTACAGTTAGTACAGGCTGCTACATGATTGTTACTGCTACAAACATCAGCCACCAGCAGCTGAAGGTTCCCACTCTATGAACTCTCAGTCACGCTGCTGATTTTCACACAGGCAACAAAACAGGCGATCAGAAAGTGTGAGGCCGGTTTTAGACCCACTGAGATACAGGTCTACAGGTCTACATAAAGACTGGGTTTACACCTGAGGCACTGGGACACGACTGTAAACCACATCAGGTCTTCAAGGCACAACCACACAGACAGCAGGCACAATAACAGACAACCAAGAAGAATTAAAAGTGGACTTGCCGAGCAGAACTTTAGCATCCTCTACGTCAAAGTCTCCGTCTCCGTCGGTGTCGTAGGCCGTCAGTTTCCCTGAAGGAGGAAGAGGAGGAGAGGAAGGCTGAGTGATGCACATATACAGTCTCCTGTTGTCGACACAAACGAGCGTACTTACTTTTACAGTAATAAATGTCCAAAAATGTCCCTAATTGTTGGTAAAGATGATTAATAAATGAATTCCCAGCTCCCCCTCTCCAACTGTCCTTGGGCAAGATATTGAACCCCAAATTGCTTTAATAAGTATTTTTTATTTTAATTTATTTCATTTTTTCTACTTTTATGTTGACAAAAATATAAAACTTTGAGCATTTCTCAGATTAGAAGACACTATGTGTCATACGTCACCAAACTTCTAGTGACGTTATTCTCACTGGAACAAGTTGACTTCGGTTTTTAATGAACTTAAAACTGCCACTATTTTTGCAATTTTTCACTTTCTCCCGCAATCTCAGCGCAAAAAACATCGCAACATGCATCGTAATCTTTCAGTAAAGCTGCTGTGGAACCAGTTTTTTAGGCTGCAACAATCCCAAAAAAAGCCTGCAATGTCCTGGAAGGACTGATTAAAAAAACAGAGACTGAACGTGATGTGAAAATGCAACGTTACTTGCGATTGTGGCAATGGTTACTCCCATGGTTGGCTTGTCAGTCGGACAGTAATTCATAATTATGGTTATTGCAATAAATATTAAGTAACATATCTTGTCTAAACCAACCAGTGTAGTGACTGGAGTTCTGTACGGACCTAAAACTGAGACCTGAACCTCTGAAGTCTATATTTATTCTATTATATTACATTGCAGTGGTTCCCAATCTGGTAGTTGCCAACGCTTCACGGTGAAGGCTTCTGGATTTTAACGGGTGTAAGACAACTAAATTATATTGTTTGTATTATTATTTAAGATATAGACTTTCAAGATCCTTCACTCTCTGATAAACATCCAAAGAGCTGATAGAACAAAGGCCAAGCATCAGGGAGAAGAAAACACTGAAGTCTGTATGATTGTTGAAAAATACATAAAACAGAATATAATATGAAATATCCATAAAATATGTCACTGAGTCAGTTTACTCAACTGGGCTCCCTTAAGGAAAAGGTGGGGAACCGCTGATATACTGTATACAGTTAGCTTGCCAGGCTAATGGCTCAGTCGAGAGACGATATCTGAACTGAGCCCGAAACTTTACAGAGGAAAATAGCTTTGTGTCAGGAAGTGGAACTTTGCCACTTCTTCAAGCTATTAATAAGAACATAACACTTCATATTGACAGTCACGGCGTGTACGTGCATCAAGTATTTATTTGAGACAGTGAAGTAAGAGGAAGAGGAAGGATGTGGTGGAGGAGGACGACCATGTCTACTACAGCAACTCATCACACATCACTTGATTAAGAATTCTGAATTCGCTCCAGATACGAGTCGAATGCATCCCAGAGCCTGTAGCGACATGTTGGCAGACCAGCAACCATCACATTACTGTCCTGTTACTGTCCCACTACAACTACAGTGGGTAGTTTGATTACTTTTTTTTTAAGCCTAAAGCTGCTGTCATACAAGCCCTCGTGAAGATGTGTGGTTGAGATCATCTGAACCACTCAGCTGCCTCCGAGTGCAGAGTGTATTTTCCGTTGCCCATTTTAGCTTTTAGTAAGAAGCCACAATGAAATCAGCACAAAACAAGTTCTGTTTAGTTCGTCTTTCTTCTTCTCATTTGTCATTTCCCAGAACAGGTCTGTACTCAGGTACGCATTAAACCAGGTGAACACATGTAAGCTTCAGTTGGTGACACACTAGTATATAGTATTATGTATTAAAGTGGAAAGATACAGCGCGGACTAGTGACAGAGCTGCTGATTTGTGTCATTGGGCACAATTATTACTTTCATTATAGTTTCTGGTTACAGCAAACATGTACAGAAAGCTCACCGCTGAATATAACATCGGTGAGAAACAGATGCTACCAATCATCTCGACCATGTTCTACTTACAGGAAGAACTATAATTAGACTGCTTTCTGTTTACCTTTGGCTTTAAAGCGAAAACATGTCCCCTCTAAACTGTGTACAAGTGTCAGCTCGACGTGGTAAAGTAGAAAATGCCAAACACTAAAAAGTAATTCTTATGAAGAGTGCATTTTATTTAAAAATGAGTTAATTTAAACTCAACACTTAACACTTACTGGGAGTAAATACATGTGAATTATGTTTTAACACTTGCAGGAGTCACTTAAAAATCAACATTTAGTGTTTTAAACGTGAATTAAAACGAGTAAATTACGACTAACAGTGTGAGCAACGCTGTGGATGTGATTTCCCTCATAGTGTAAAACTTTATTAAGACTTCTCAGTGTGGTTAAATATTAACTCTGACCACAGCTGAATTGACCCTATGTTCAGTTTACAGTGTAGAGCTGTAATGTAATGTGTCGTTACATTATCCCAAATGTTTCCAACAGTGTTCAAGTACACAACTCACACAACGTAGAGAACATAGGCCTAGTGTTTATAGACAGTTTAATGTGGAAATGTT